GGAAGTGCTATTGTAAGGAGTCCTCAACAGAGCAGCTGTCACACAGAGGCAGATTTAAAATGGGAGCTGACCTTTGCTCATGTCTCTTGGCCTACTCTTACACAAGTAATGAAATTAAGTAGCTTCCCACAATGTGAGAGGAGTAATCATGGTCTTTAACATTGGAGGAGTGGATACAGCTGAATGTGGAGAGATAAGCCTTGTATGTTTTTAAAGCTCCAAGTGTCCATACATGAAGTTGTTCATAGGACACAGCAAGTTTTGTAAGCAGGATCAAATTCTGGCATGTTTCTCAGTGATGCAGCCAAATTAACTTTTTGTTATATCCTGTGCTTTGGCAGATTTTGAGACTTTCAACTCTGTCGTGCAGAGAGAGTGAAAAGCTCTTACAGGTGTTAATATGAAATGGAAGTGGGTTGAGCTGTGTGTGCTACAAAGTATTTTCTCTCTTTTTTTTTTTTCTCTTGACTTTTTAGGAAAAGCTTTGGGACTTCTGGCTTTTAATAAGTAAACCATAATATAAAATTTGAGTAAACTCTTTCTTCGTTTTTTGTAATGCCACAGGTGTTCGAGGTATGGCCTTGTTCTTCCACTCTCATTTCTGCAACAAGATCTGCAAAAGCATGGGCCTTGCACCATTTGATCTTTCACCCAAAGAGAAAGATGCCTTGGATTATAATAAAAAATTGCTTGTAAGTGCTTGATGAAAAAAGTGTACCTAAGCAGTACAGCTAGTTTATCCTAACTTTAAAAGTCCTGTAAATAGAACTGAAATATGTTATTTACATGGCAAGTAAAACCCACCTGAGCTACTACCATTGCAGTCTAAATTATAACAGTTTAAGGCTGACTTGTTCATACTTGTCTCTGAATTAATGCTGTAGTTTTAATTAACAGGGAACTTTGTAACACAGTGTATATTTAGGACCACGTAGATCTCTGAATTCATTAGTTTTGTATCTCACAAAGCTAATTTGGGGAGAAAAAATATAACTTAATTGTCTTTAACTACTCTCAGTTTCAGCTGATTTTAGTGGGAATGGGACTTGATGAAATGCTTTGAATGAAATTCAGTCCTAAGCAGACTGTCAAAATGTCAGGACTCGATATTAGTTCGCTTTGAAAAATTCTACACCCCAAATACATTTGTGTGTATTTATGCCCCCTCTTTTTTAGAGGACTCCTAATAAACATTCATGTTGGCTTATGTAGCGTGCACAGAATACACAGAAGGATTATTCACGGGACTTTCTTGTTGATTTGCCAAGGAATCTGCTCAAACAATTCTCCGTGGCACAGAGGAGAAATGTGGCAGCAGCCGGGTGAGAACGCTGTCTGGCAGTCGGCCGCCCCTGCTCTTCCGCCTGTCTGAGAACTCTGGGGATGAAAGCATGAGTGATGTGGCCTTTGACTCCCTCCCCTGCTCTCCTTCCTCAGCAACCCCTCACAGCCACAAGGTGGACATGCTTAGTGAGTGAGCCTTGTACATCACCTCCTCGGGGGGATCCTGAACGTTGGACAGTAACTCATCTTATTTTGTTGGTTTTAAACACAACAGCATGTTGATTTAGCTCAGAATATTTGTTTCTAGTGTTCCTCTTTGAGTGGAAATAAAACTATTTCTATGTAGATAAATTATGCACAGATGCTTCTGAAAAAACAGCAGTGAAGCTATATCTAGAGCTTTTTTCTCAAACATGTTATCCTAACAATAAGAAGCAAATTTATTTCTTCCTAGATTGGCCTGTGTTCAGTGAAGTAGATAACTTGGTTCACAGAGACTATGACCAGCTTGACAACCAAAGGGTGAGTGTCTTTCCAATGGAAAATGAGATTGCAGGTCCCTAATTGAATGTGTCTTTAAAGGACTTCCCAAAGTCCTCCTTACCTTTAGTTAAAAGGTGCTTGGCCTGCTCTCATTTTTGCAGCTCACATTATCTCCATGCATTTGGCTGTTTCTAGTAGAGGAAGAATATTTTATTTTAAAATATCATTCATTATTCTTTTTCCATCCAAAATTTATTTGCATCTGGTGTCTTCTAACAGATAATTCATGTGCATGTCTGTTCCCCTGCCTGCATGTTGTGTCTTGAGCACTTGTGCCAACTGCTGTGGTATGAAAATTAAAGACAATCCCTCTGGATTAGGTCCCTGCAAATCCTGGTACTGTGGGATGTTAGAGAACCTCATCTGAGATGATGCAAGATGTTTGCAATGGGAATTTTCCAATACTGGGCCTTAGTGCCAGGGGCTGTCAGTTACTGCTTTATGTTTTGACTGGCTACCACTGAAGACTAAAAACTATTTTTAGTAGACTCTTAGTCTGATAAAATATGCAAGTCCTTGATTTTATTTTTAATATATGTAAGAGAGAAGACAATCTTGGGCAGTACCTTCTGTATCATTAAGTCCTGTTCTGTCAGAGGCAGCAAAACATACAATCATTTTCATCCAGTATAACCATCCAGTACTTTTCATTGAACCAGGAAAAGGTTTTCTCTGTGGGGCATGTCAAGCTGAAATCCTTATGAAGGGTAAGAGTAGATTAGAGCTAATGCTGTGCTGTTGTTGTCTTCTGTAGGATTTTGAAAATGGTGGAGACAGTGGATATCCCAGTGAGAAGAGAAGTGAGATGGAAGATCTGGATCACAGAGAGAGGGTAAGAACCTGACTGTGGGTTTAGCAGAGTTGAGCCTGTTCATACTTGAACTGTTTTCATGGAAGAATCTTATTTTTTATCCCTCCTAATCGGCTTTGCAAACAGAGGAAACAAAAAGAAAGAAATTCCCACTTGTTGTGAATTACTTATTCGTCTTGGGAATGACACTTTTACAGGAAGAAGATGATTTGTAATGAGGAGCTTAATTCCAAACATCATAGTTGATTACACATTGCTGGGGGGTTTTCTAAGTGTCCTGTATTGCATTTGGGAAACTGAGCCAGATTCTTGTCATCTGGAAACCATGAATATGATCTACTTTCAGACTCTTTTACCCTCTCTACTTTGCATATCTTGAATATCACAGAATTTTATATTGTTGTCAGTTAATAATAAGCAACTTTAGAACTCCTGTGGGTTAGTTGGTTACTCCTTAAAAATATAGATTTTCAAATGAATGCTTTTTGACGTGAAGATCTTAACAAGACACTTAATTAGAAGGCAGGAAAGAGAATGCTGCTTCCAAAGATACTACTGCTTTTGTCACCTTTCATGTGGCAAGTTATTTGTCATGGCATCTCCAGTTTGCAGGATTAAAGCCTGTGTGTACCATGTTCTTTGCCATTTCACTGTGTTTAGTACTGTGGTGTGGTATCACTGAAAGAAAAGGATCCAGGGGAAACTATTTTGGTCATTTTTCACTCTTAATTTTGCAGGCTAGGAATAGTGTAGATGGCTATCTGGCACACATCAGTTGCTGCAGATTAAATGATGCAAATCTTTACGTTAACGTAGGGCCATTCAAACAACAACCGGAGACACGAGTCTGATGAAGACAGTTTGGGAAGCTCTGCAAGGGTAAATAAAGCAGAAATGCTCACAGACTGAGTTTGCCACTCTGCTTGTCCTTTGTTCCACTCACCTGCCATCTAACCACGTTACTAAATCAGTTTCTCTTCCTTTTCAGCTACAGAATATGTCGATTAATATTAACTTACCACTTTGCATTATTTCCTTTTTTCAGTTTATTTTCCAGTTAAAGTATTGTTGTAAACAAACGGTCACCTCTTCAACTGATCCCTGTCATAGATTAGTGATTATGCATAGGTTTCTCACTTTAAGAAAATAGTTATGGTTCTGTGGATTTTTTTTTTCAGCCTGACTAGATTATCTTTCCTTTCTACACCTTATTTTTGGAATTGTGTTCTCCATGTGGTTGGATGATTTCTTAAAAGCATGCAGTGCTTAAAATCTGTGACAGTCTCTCTCTCCTCTGTGTATCTAACTGAGCTAGAGAAGACCAGACCTTCTTGTATGTTTTTGTAAAACATAACTTCTGTGATAATTGGTCTGTGGCTATAAACTGTATAAAAAGTATCTGCAAGGAAAGCAAAATCAGAGCTTTGACAATTAATAATTTAACTAGATATGCTCTTCAGAGTTTCCCTATTACATATTGCTGTTTCAGGAAATTGAAACAGCTTTAAGAGAATGAAGCTCGGTGCCAATATCCTTCCCTGCTGTGTGTCCCCTGTACCTCCCAAGGCTTTCACTCTGATAGCACTGGGTTTGGCTACTGTTTCCAATCCACCCATTACACTGAAAAATTTCTTCTCATTTTTGTTGGACCTCCTGAGAAACACCAGTGAATGTGTCTGCCTTTCATCTTCTGCTTTGTTACTTTTCCTCCTTCTAGAGTTCTGGAATGAAAGCAGCAGTTAAAGTGTTGTGAACTGAAATTCTGACCAGAAAAGAATGGGTTTCATTTATTTTTTGGTGCATGGTTAACCTCAGTGCTTGCAGTGTGACTATTCAGTTGCTTATTTTTAGAAGTAATTTTTTTCTGATTCAGAACTTAAAGATGATTCTTTGCTTTGCTGTGAAGTGATGATGTTTGGATTAGAAATAGAGGGCTCTTCTCTGTTTCTTTTAATGAAGAATAATAACCATTTATTCAGCTGCTAACATGACTTTTGAAATCTGTCTTAAATTACAGTATTTACTAATAAGTATCAATATTAATGGAGACTTTGATTTTTGGATGGTAATCCATAGGTATGGAAATTTTAATTTTCAATATAAGCAATATTATGTCTCATATTGCAGATCAGTGTGGAGAAATGGATTCTCTACAACCCTTCCAGAGTCCATATCCACAGACCATCCTGTGTTGCCCAAGAAATTCAGAGGCTCAATGCACTAGAAATTGAAAAGAAAATTGGGAAGTCAGTCCTTGGAAAGGTAGGATGGGTCTAGTAATCCTGTTTTTTCCAACTGGAAAGAAACATCTTGTATTTATTCCTGACACAGAGGTGTTACCCTGCATGAGTTTATAGGTGCAGGTGAAAATAAATAACACATCTATAGCTTTCTGTCAGCTAACCATATTGTATAAAGAATATCTGAGCTCAGGAACCTATGAATTCCATCTGCTTTTGGGCTTGAAACATTTGGGCTCCTTCAGGAAGGACCCTCCTGTTGTAAGGTTTGCCTTTTCAGAGGCATCACACAGGGAAGACAGAGCAGGATACATACGGTGTATCTGATCTACGTATCTTGAACATGGACAAGGTTGGGCTCCTGAAAAATGGTAGCACAGACCAACTCTTTTCACTCCAGACAATGCAAATATAAACCAAGTCTGGGTTTATATATGGGCTTAAGCCTACACCTAAAACACAGTGTAGATCTTCCTGAATATCCTGAGAGCCTTGATATTCTGTGCTGGTTTGAAAGCAAACCAGTGAGAGACTCCAAGTCAGAAGTACAATTTAATATGAACAACACAGCAAAGCAACAACAAATGCAACAGTACAAAAATAACCTGACAGAGTCAGAAAGTAACCTGACAGCCTCTCAGTCACAGTGTTAGTAGTAGTCCGATTAAAATGGTAGCTGCAGTCCTCCTGGAGCAATGGCTTTGTTGGAGCAGTGATCCCGCAGATCTGCTCCTCTCCTGAAGGTCCAGCAGCAGCTCTTGTCCTCTGGGAATCCAGCAGGCAAAAGGCTCCCTGTGCTGGTCCAAACCCCGGCTTATATCCCTGTGAGCATGTTTGGCTCCCCACCCCTGGGGTGAGTCACCTCACCATGGGACAAGGATCACTTGGCGGATGTGTCATGTATGGGTCCTTGGCAGCCCATTAATCAGAGACAGCCCCTGAGGGAGCCATCTGCGACATGGTGATAAGGATCACTGCCCCACCTTCTTTAACAGCTTGTGGAGATGAAAATAGAATACATACCATTGCAACCCAGGACATATTCTCAAACTATGAGAAAAAAACTATTCTGCCTTTGGGGACAGAAGTCAAAAAAACCCTCAAAATCCCATGGTATGTTTGGAATGAAGTCCTGCATGCACTGATAATAAAGGCTTCAGTGGTGTGAGGGTTTTACCCTCAATAGCCTTCTTGATTTTCTATGCCTCAGATTAATTCCTTTTCTGTGAGGGTCCTTGATGCACATTTATAGTCTGTGCCCCATGGTGACCTGTTGGGTTCCTCTGTCTCCCTCCTAAAGGTCTCCAAGGCTCCATATCTGGGCCATGTCCCTAAGATCTGATCTCGTATGTGCAGAAGGTGCATCCTTGTGTCTTTGCTGACCTTTGTGCTGTAGGTTCACTTGGCCCTGGTTCGCTATCACGAGGGTGGACGTTTCTGCGAGAAGGACCAGGAGTGGGATCGGGAGTCAGCCCTGTTTCACCTGGAGCGTGCTGCAGACTGTGGGGAGCTGGAGGCCATTGCTGGCTTAGGACTCATGTGCTCTCAGCTGCCACATCACATTCTGTCTGAGGTCACTCTGCAGGTAAATAGAAAGATCAAAGAAAATGCCAAAATACAGTTGTGGTCCATTGAAAAACAACACCAGAACGGCAGGAAATAAAGACAAAAAACATAGTTGTTCTGTAGCCTCTTCAGAGGAAATGGATTACTTTGTAATTCTGGACTTGGACAAAACAGCAAAAAATGCTGCCTTTTTCTGATTTTGCCAGCAAATTCCTGCATACCTTTGGGAAGTTTTTGAAGCAGTCTTTGCTGTTCAGCTGCTTTATTTCTTGTGGCTGTGCCTGTGTCTCAGACATACTGAACACTTGCAGCCATTGCTGGCTTGGAGAAACTGCATTTAGTGTTGGAGGAAGTGATGGTCTTACTTAGAAACATGCATTTGAAAGGTTTTGTCTGTTTTACTAGGACACAAAGGAAAACAGAAACAAAGGATTCAATTACTTGCTGAGGGCAGCAGAAGCTGGAGACAGGCCTTCCATGATCCTGGTAGCAAGAGCATATGATACAGGTCTAAACCTTGGTGCAGACAGGTAATGTGCATGGCTGAGTAATTTATCTTGGTGGTACTCCACTGGGGCAAGGGTGGGGGCAGAAGCACTTGCTGCATGTCTTTCATTCACATAAAGGGCTGTTATGTTGTAAGGCATGCCATGAAGTGTTTTGGAGTCACTTCAAGCTTACCCAGGTGTGCATAAAAGCAGGGGTTAGGTCATGATATATCAACACAGAAAGAAAATCAGAGATCATTTCTGCTGTTGGACACCTGCATGTGTGTTGGATCCACTTGCCTGTTTGAGTTTAGCCCTCATACCGAGGTTGCCCTATGACAACCAAGTCTTTTTTGCTCTGAAGTTGTTGATAAAACTCCCCTTGACTTCACTGGGAGTTGCATACTTGAAAGTCTTGGGATCAGTGGGGAAAAAATGAACGCGAGTTCTTTTGGAACCCCAAAAATAAGTGAAAAGTACTTACAACTGCCATGCTTCCTCCTTAATGATTTTTGAAAGCACAGTGTTGTTAGAAACCAGGATTGTTTTCCTAATAAAGCTGTGAAAGAAGCTGTGGAACAGGAGACATAGGGGAAGTCATAAAGTGACTATGGATGAGATGCAGTCAGATAAGCAAAGTATCTGTCACAGGTATCTTTCACTGCTACTCAGAATAAAAGAATGGAAATTTCCAAGATCATAGTCTGCATGCTGAAGATGTTACTTTTAATTAAGGATGACTTGAGGTTTTAAGAAGTTTAAAAATGCTTTTACCTCAATCAGTCTCTCTTAATTTGACCTTCCAAAAGGCTAGACAGGAACTTTTTTTTTTTTTTTTTTTTTTTAGCAATTTAGGTTAGTTTTTAAAAGTGGACAAATACTAATATCCTTAAGTAGCAAATATAACAGGTGATGATAGTGATTTTACTGCTTTTATATTTTAGCATGTCCTTGTTATTTACATGAGTTTTCTGGTTTGCACAACAGTGAAACTCTGAATTTCACCATTGCTGAGTAACATTAAACTTCTCATTGAAGTGCGCTGAGCATTCTCGATGTGAAAATCACTGATTTTAAAGAGTTTATGAAACAAGACTCTGCAACTTCAGATTTTTTTTTTCTAGATCAGTAATCTTCACAAATAAAAATGTCAGACCAAAACCATACAACTAGTAATGAAGCCCAGACTCTGGTGTTCAGCAAGACACTTCACCCTGATACTTTCTCTCTGTAATCCCTGCATGAAGTGACCCCAGTCTCATTTTGCAGTGGTGACCTGATGCTGTGTTGTGGTTTAACCTCAGCCAGCAGCTAGTGCAGTTAGTGAGCCTTCATGGCAACATTTGCTTTCTTGGAGAGCATCAGGGCTCTGAGAAGCCAGTGCAAAATTGGATTTTGAATCTCTAATACAAAGTACATTTGTTGCCCAAGGGAACCATCTTCCAAACTTGTTTTTAACTTCAGAGCCCAGAACTGGAAGGAGGCACTGCACTGGTACAACGCTGCGCTGAACATGACTGACTACGACGAGGGAGGCGAATACGATGGCACTCAGGATGAGCCCCGGTACCTGCTGCTGGCCAGGGAAGCAGAGATGTTAATGACAGGAGGGTTCCACTTGGATAAGGATCCACAGAGATCGGGTGAGGCCTCCTTTTGTTTCTGTAATCTGCTTTTTCATTTTACATGCTTTTCCCCCAGCATGTACCCCAAAAATCCATCTCCTGCTTCAGCTGTTACAAAACATACAGAGGGTCAGTACCTTCAGGTTTGTGGATGAAGCTGGAATGATGCTTGGTCTAACAAGGCTGGCAACAGTGAAAGAAGAGATCTTGGCAATGATAGGGGTAATGGGTGGTGCTAGATCCAATCCTGTGACACTCTGAGTCACTACCAGGCAACCTTCACTCCCTTTGAGGTTGCTGCTCTGGGTCACTCCCCTGCACTGCAGGTTGCTGCTTGTGTTTTGAGTTACACCCATGACTCCCAGGCCCTACATAACATTCTCCTTGCTGTGTAAGCTCTATGTTAAATAATGTTGTCTGAGAGTTGTCCTGAGGGATCCTGCAGCCCAGTTATATTTCCAATCCTTCCAAATACACTGAAGAGCCATCAGCAGCCAGTCATAGAACTTTGCACAGCAACATTCCCAGCTGATGTAACTCTAACACCATTAAAACACACCCATACATCTGGCCTGGTAGTTTGACCTCAATTTCTCCTTTTGTCCTTTGTTTGCTGCAGGCCAAAGCAATGTTTTTTCTTTGCTCTGTCAACATAACTGACACTGTTTGCTCCTCTAGGTGAGCTGTACACAGAGGCAGCAGAGGCAGCGATGGAAGCCATGAAGGGCAGACTGGCAAATCAGTACTACCAAAAAGCAGAAGAGGCTTGGGCAGTGATGGAAGAATGACACGGAAACCGAGCGGTTCTTGTACATAACCTTTTTATAGACTTGCTGCATTGGCAGCTGAAGAGATATATTTTTTATGTGATGTTACCAGTTTCTTTTTTTTGTATTTTAGTTTTTTAATTTTTTTGGAGGGGAGAAATCCAAATGTATGTGGTATGTAGGGTGTTACAGCATACTTGTGTTGCTGTTTTAAAGCTGTAATACAGGCACACTTGACCTTTTGTACTTTTTTAACTGTTAGAACTGAGGGGCCTAGTTTTCATTTCTTTTACAAGAAATGAAGCCTTATTGCTTAGGTTTCACATGTCCTGTTTTTCACACAGCATATGATCAGTGTGTTTACATTTTTCTGATCTTCCCCATATACAGAAAAACATTTTCCTAAGTCCTCAGCATTTTTTTCATCATGTTCGGTGTATCTCACCAAAATTGCACATGAATGTAAACTTTCAGTTTCTGGATGCAGCTACTGATGTTAAAAAGTAATCCCATTCTATTATGCCAGGGTTGTTGGACACTATTTTTATTTTTCTTGAAAGAATTCCAGACAGAATCCTTACAGTTTGGGGAGGGGCAGGGAAGATGCTTCAGATTGGCAGTGAGGATATTCAGAGTGGAATGTTTTATCCATTACCAACTTTGCATATTATACCATTAAAAATCATTACTGTTCCTGATGAGGTGAGGCATCCAGCTACCTCTCTCATTTGCACATTTTGCACCATATAATAACTTAGTTGTATAAAATTATGCTGATCTTATATTTGTCCAATTATGTACAATAGGAAGATCTCTAATATATGGGTAATTTGAAGTTATCTTTACAGTGTCATCTGAATTCTCAGTGAAGCTAGATCATTTTATTTAAAATGAGAACACACTGTCCACCATTTCCAGAGGGATGCTTGTAAAAGTTAGAGAATGTTGATTCACCTATTTTCTATGTGCAGAAAACAATTTATCTGGTTTAAGTATCTTGTAAAATGGTGTTTAAATGGTTTCAAACACTAATTAGAGAATTATTGCTGGTGAAAAAGAACAACATTATCCACAAACACTTGAATTTCTGTGTCCTGTTTGCATAATTCTAACCAGTTGTTGGCAGGACAACAGTTGGACTTGATGGTCTTAAAGGTCTCTTCCAACCTTGATGATTCTACGATGAACTGCATGGTGGTGGTTGAATTGTCATTCCATAGAGATAAGTTTCTTCCAAATCCAGGGTTTTGTTCCAAAGCTGCTGTGCCATGGATGGTACAGAAGCTGTTCCTATTCCTTGGTTGTGGTTAATAGTCGTTTTGCAGGAGATCTAAGATGGAAGTTTTTGCCTTCTTGGCCTTACAGTCTCCTGAGTGTGCAAATTGATCTGATTAAGGGGCTGCATGACCTATCTATATGCTCACCACTTTAGCCAAGCTTTTCAAAGCATGCTCAAAACTATGCAGGCTCTGACATGATGCAGTTGATTTCATTGGGACTTCTTGCCCAAATAATACTAATTTCTTGTTAAACACAGAAGCCACTCAAGGAACAGAAATGAGATCTCCCTTTCCTGCACAAGTGCCTGTCACTGGGCTCAGGTTGTGCTCCCTGTCTACTCTTTCTCTGGCAAGTGGATTTTGAGTTATTGTTTAGACAGTATCCAAGGATGATGTTAATAACTGCCACTGTCTGAAAGAGGTGATGTCCTGGTGGTTAAGGCAATGACAGGGGAAGATTTGAATCCTTTCTAGGAGAGAAGGGAAAGTTATCCTTGGATGTTGTGCTTCTGGGTGGGTGCTGTGTCCACCAAGCAGTTGTAGCTGTGAGTAGCCTTGCAACACATGGCAACGTCCTTGCTGTATATTGCAAGGGTTGTGGGAAAGTAGTGCTCATGGCCTTTTTATTTTGGTTTTGTTTTGGAGGAAGGTCTAATTTGTAGACCTCAGCTGGGCTCAGGAAGTACTAAGCTAGTACTAAAATAAGCTAATATTTTGGACCTAATATTTTATGCTGAAAGAGAACCAGACTTTGTAGGATTGCAAGTCAGATAGATGTTTTAAGTGCCTATCCAAAGCTCTGCTTTAGATGCCCTAAAGCCTCTTTGGGGTGTGCCCTTTTTTGGTATTTCAGTTCATAGCATTAAAATATCAGCTGTCAATGAAAGGTGAATGTGTCACTCACCTTTGAGGACAGGTGAATAGTCTCTGTTTTGTGCAGAACCAATACACTGTGGGCACTAGAACAAACTCAAACAGAAGGATTTGTTTCCCTCATAAGGTGTTGATGCCAAGTCTGAGATTTTTCCTCAAGAAGGAAGTATGTGTAACAACATCACCAACCATGTAGGGAGGAGAGGAGATTGGAAGTGCCCTCCAAAATGTGTTTGTAAAGGAGTGTAATTGTTGACACTTTTTGGTGTAGTTTAGTTAGCTAAATTCAGTAGTTGCTAAAGTTGCTGACAGCTCTGGGCAGATCTGGCATGTGAATGTGCACACAACTCAGTGCAAAAATTACTATGATTAATTGTTTGCAGATACTACTTTCTAGTGCTGAAGGCTACCTTCTGTCCTAAAGTGGGATCATGTCATTTAGCTATACAATAAATGGGACTGTCAATAATATGAAAATGAAAATTGTTTACAGAAAAACAACTTACTCTGTGACATACTTTTGAAGGGAAAAAACTATATATTTGACAGACTTATGCAATGATATTACTATATGCTGCATTTTTAATCTATTCACAATGAATAAATACAAATCTGTATTTCTGAAAAATGTGAAAATAAATCTGAGGTTCAGCCTGCCAGAACTTACCCAGGCTCAGTGTTTCCATATGTCAGTGGGAATATTGCTTGGGTAAGGACAGTGAGATGGAAGCCTTTGTTTGTATGTCAGACAGGCAAATACTGCTTGCCTGCATCACTTAGTCCTCTCATTCACTTTGTCTGGTTTCATTCTGGCTGGTCAATAAAACTGTCCTTTTTGTCACTCTTCTCAGTAGAGTTTTATTCATTGCATGTTGCCTTTGGTTTTTTTCTTTATAATTTCCAAGAATTCAATCCTCCTGTTCCAAGCTCTCAGAAATCCTCTGTGCTGTTTGTATTAGCCCTGATTTAATTCACTATAAACAGTCAGAAGTAACTAACTGGGAGGAAATAATTAGATGTTACCAACAGAATCTGTTTTTCTCAAGAAATCTAAATGGTTGCTGTGCTCTTTGATTTGCATTTGATTACACATGTGGTGTCTGTAACTCATGGGGGATAGGATGTGAGGGCTGAAGAGCTCATTTGCAGGATGCTACAAAGGCCTCCTTATGCCTTTAGTCTTTGTTTAGCCCTTGGAGCAGACTGGAAATACCTGGTTCTGTGATTTGAGATGGGAGAGGTTTTTGTCCTGGCTACAATATCTAATGATACCTTGTCATCTTATTGCTCTTTCTATTGAAGAACAAACTGACTGATACCAGCCCTTCCAAACTGTTAAAAATGGAGTTCTGGCTGTTGCTTTTTTCATTGTTTTAAGACAGGTGAAACTTATTGTACCTGTGTAGTTTAAACAATCTGAAATGATTCTCAAAGGCAGATTCTTTGAAATCTCCTAACAAAAAAGCCCCAGCAGGGCCTCTGCACTGTAGAATCACTAAGGTGAAAAATGGTGAAATTTGGCACTGCTATAGCTTTATAGCTTTTAGTCTTTAGCTATAGCTGCTGTCACTGAGAGCTGCAGTGTTTGGCAAGTGTAACAAAGAAAGTGGGAACAGCATTCTTCAGAAAGCATAGAGACAGCCAACACTTAGAGTGTAAATAAGAATAAGAATATTGCCTGTTTGTTAATTACTGGTTTGTGGGACTGATGTGGTTCTTACTCTCTTCCCCAGAAGTATCATTTCACTCTGAGAGTGGAATGACTGCTGACAGACACAGGTTTAGATGGGCCAAATCAGGAGTTCTCATCTGAATTTGGGAAGGGAGGATTTAATTTGAACCTCAGGTTGGATTCAGGGCCAGTGCTGCTGGTGGTGAGTCAGGTTTAACTTCAGGGACATCTCTCATGTGCCTCCCACTGCTGGGGACAGCTTGGATTTGTAACCGTCAGGCCTGGTCCTTAGTCTAGATGTATTTGAGACAAGTCCTTGCTGTTCTCTGGCTAACTTCTATGCTATGAAAGCAAAATAATGAGGCTGGTAGCTTGTGTTACAGTTTGAGTTCTCCTGTAAGTTCACTCTTTGGAAAAGGTCCCATAATTAGCGTCCCACAGAGAGTGTGAAACCTGGTGACCCAACTGCCAACCCTGAGGGACAACCTGTGCTCTTATCCCCTGGAAGTGTCACATATGGCTGATGTGAATAATCTTGGGTACATAGGCTTCCTTCAGCTCTCAGGAGAAATCTCTCTGTGGCCAGGCACACAAACATTTCAGGGGCAGAGCAGAAAAGCACTTCTTGGGGAAGGTGTTGGTACCTCTCACTGCCTGTGCCAAAGGACTTGAGGGGCTGAGCAGCCTATGCAATAAGAAACCACTTGTAAGCTGCAGCCTCTTGCACACATCTTCACACACACACTCGGGATATGCAGTGTTCAGGAGGCACCCCATGTTCACTGCTGCGTGGAGACTACTAAATCAGGCTCTT